TTCATTGCACATGCGTCAAAGTTACTCCGTTTTTGAGTAATGATATTTATCCAACACGCAGATCTGCAAGGAAGATGAGCAATAGCGAACTTTAGCAATCAAACAACATCATGCACATAAGACCAGATAGTCGTGACCTCGAACCAATAGCAGAATTGCATCACGAGTTTCACCCAATAAGAGCACACCAAAAGCTCATAATTGACAATGCTGGAATAGTCTCATCATCATCATCAACAAAGAACCAATGTTGATATTGTATCTGGCGCTCGGTGCCTAGACTACAGATGGCAGAGCCTATCTAGCCTAGACTACAATGCCGAAGATGATGACAACAGCTCTCCCGAAGTACGAGCAGATAGCAGCCAATGCCGCATGCTTCCGGCACCAGGTATGTCTCTCGCATCACTCACAACCTCGTTCCCCAACACATGAACCCAAGGACCACCCTGCGCCACACACAGCATTACAGAAGCGCAGCTCGGCTATGGCCGCCTGCTCCTTCCAGCTCGCGCGTGAGCGCTGGCCAACTTCAGCGCAGCAGCGCTTGCGCAGCATGCAGCCTGCACCCGAATGTCCAATGTGGAGGCAGGCCCTTTGCTATATGGAAGTGGCCTGCCTGCGTTCTGTCCCAGGGTGCGCTGGGCCTTTCCCAAGAAGCTTCCGGTAGGCCCCGGTAGGCTGAGTCCCGGTCCAAACAACTCAGGCCCTGGGCCTGTGGTGGTTGCTTGGGCCCAACTGTCATCGGCCAGTGTCTGGCCCACATCTCGTATCCAGCCCAGGGCCTGCCTTTGATTCATGCAAACAGGCGACCCAGGGCCTAGGTTCTCTCAACCAACTGGCGATGTGCAACTGCCTTAGTTGCATGGTGGGCAAAATTCAGGGCCCTCAGGCCCTCGTCGAGCCTGCCTTCACTTAGGGCGGCCGACGTGCTGCTTGGCAGGGCCTGAAAGGGGCACATCAGGGCTTTAGCCTCGCAGATCTACGATTCCCCCTGATATGGATGGTAAGTATGATGTGGATAGGATTGTTGGGGAAGATGTTTACAGATCTGGGCGCAGGGGTAGACCACAGCGACAATATAAGGTCAGATTTGCCTATCAGGAACCTACGGAAGATCGCTGGTTTACAAGAGATGAACTAATAGAAACAGCACCTCATATTGTGTCCTATTATGAAAGAGCTAAAAGAGGAGTTAACATAATAGATAGATAAAATTGGTAATTTTCTCGGAGGACCTCAAAATTAGGTTGGCGAGAAAATTCGGGTCACAGGGTCAGAGACCCTGGCCAAGAAAGGCCGAATTAGTCAAATTTAGAAAAGTCACAGTCGGGAAAAAAAAAAAAAAAAGTCACAGTCGGGTACCTCAGCAGTCCAGTTCCAACAGGCACCCAGCAAACAGTCGCATCTCAGGGACAAAAGTCACGTCTAAGGGACAAAAGTCATGTCTCATCATGAAAAGTCAGAGTCGCATCCCACGAGTAAAAGGGCAGTTCCACAGGCAGGAGTCGTGTCCCAGAGGCAGGAGTCACGGTCCACAGTCGCCAAAATTGAAAAGTCATGACTCAAAGGCCGAAGCAGCAGCAAACCAATGGAAATTCGGGAAGGTCCCAGGCCTTGACATACAGAAACAGACTGGCTGTGGGGATGTGGTACTGGAACCAGTCAGGACCCAAGAAACAGAGGCTGGCACGAGTTGAAGTGCAACCCAAAACTACAAAAGGACTGGCCAGCCTCCCATTCGGGCATTCGCAAGAAATCTGGAAGTGCTGGGCACTTGTGCGCTGTAGTGAGGGGCAGAGCGCTGAAGCCAGAGTGCTGTGGTAAGAGAGAGAAAGAGAGAGAGGAAGAGATTGCGCTGGCAGGGAGAAAGCAGCCATAGCTGCGCCAGTGCAGAGTGTTAGTAGTAGACTTCAGATGGATCGTAGGCATATCAGTGGGTGTATTCGGAGTAGATCTTTGAGTAGAAGTTAGTGAGTGCGCACACATGTAGGGAGAGAAGACACAGCGAGGACATAGGTAGGGAGAAGACCAGCAAGGAGAAGAGATACATTAGAGAGAAGAGCAGTGGGGACGAGATACTTACCTGAGAGCTTATGCTGGTTACTGGTTACCTTTGGCATGCGCTGATGAGCACTGGTGACCCAAACTCTCATTGCTCTTGTGATTACTTGTAGGAATTCATAAGCTGCGGTACCTGGTCTTAATCTCTCTGTTCTCCAGTGTGAACTTCGTGTGATCTCACAAGTGCATGTGGTGTGAATATGTGCGCTCACTGGTGTTGAACTAAGAGGTTCATTGCACTTGAGGACACACACACACACACACACACACACACACACACACACACACACACACACACACACACACACTCGCACACACACACACACGCATGC